ACTAAAAAAGACCCTGTTTGCTAGTTTTTAAGAAAACTGGATGGGAAGCCTATCCCCGACCCATTGAGGGCGTTTAAGCTGTTCTTGGACGTAAAACCAAGGGAAGATGTGAGCCACATTCACAACTGCGATTTGAATTTTTTTTTGTTTGTAAAAACTTGTGTCTTTTGGTTTTATTATTGTGTTTTGTTATTTCTTATTTTTGTTTTAGTGTGTTTCAGGTTTTGTCAGTGTTCGTTATTTCAGGTGATATCTTCTATACTCTATCTTTCTACTTTAGAACATTGAGGACAATGTCTCATTTTGGTTGGGGGGAGAGGGTAGTAGTTGATAAAAAAAAAATTGTTTTTCATTTCATAAAGCATGTGCATAATTGTTGTTACTAGGATGACAGAGTAAAGGAGTTCTTTTGTTAAAGTGACTCTTGAGACGCATCTTAGTAACCATTCTTAACAAGGTCTATTATAATACTTCCTGAAATATTCAGGTTTACAAACTCTCGTATTGTTACCACTTAATTCTGCTCATATACTTATTTAACATGTATTCTTAAACCTTAATTTACACACACACACTTTAACATATGATTGTGGGTTGCATATTGGATTATTACATTATTTATGTTCTTTTGTTAAAGGTAACAACTAAGGGAAAGGGATTGTATATAATTAAAAAAAAAACATGAAAAAAAAAAAGAAAAAGAAAAAGAAAAAAAAATGATGATAATAAAAATGTAGATAAGTTTGATTTCGTAGCCTCCCTAACCTAAGCAATTAAGCCCGAAGGGGTGTTTTAACACCTAATACCCTAAAGTCAACTGACTTGTGAGCTATTGGCCCAACGCTTGTTACATGGGTTGAGGAGAAAAGCTTAAGGGAATCAAACATTGCACTATCTACATATCAGTATCTGCGACCCGAGTTACTAAGCTCGTAGGGGTGTCTTAACACCTAATGCCCTAATACCAACTGGTCTGGGAGTCATTAGCTGAAAGCTCGTTACATGGGTTAAAGATGCATGATGTTTTTAAAGTATATGTATATAGAGTTAAAAAAAAAAAAGACAAAAATAGTAATCCCAACCCAAGGAAGTTAACCTTAAACATTAGAACAAAAATTTTGTTTTCTTCCAAGAAAAGCCCCATAATTATGTGTTGATACATTGAGCACAAAAGAAAGGTTTATTAATATCTTGTTAAGAGGTATTGAGCAGATATATAAATTTAATGAGAGTTTGTTTATCTGGATAGACTAATGGAAGTTAAATGATGAATACCTTGCTTTGTGAAATTTGCAAATTTGTTTTCTATTTTAACGCTTTGATTACTAGGGACTAGTAATAAGCTGGTTGGGGGGTGTGATTAGTACTTAAAAGTGCATTTTTATCATGGTTTTATATCATCATTTTGCACTTGAAGTATCAATAACTCCTTAACTAAAATATGTTTTATAATAATGTATCTAATAATATAAGATACCTATAATTTATGGTAAATGTCTATTTTTAATGCAGGCCTATCACATAAATGAAAGGATTGATTGATGACTTGAAGAACTTAAATTGCAAGGATAAAGAGATGGCCAAACTTAGAAAAGAGATGTCGGTGCAATCCAAACCGGAACACTGTTCGGTAATTGGGTCATATCTGGAGCTACAGATCTCAGATTTAGGTCCAATTTATATGGATGGAAAGGTAAGACATAGGCCTACAACTTTCATATGGAGCCCAAGATCTAAAAAGGCCATTATCAAGTCCAAATTGTAGCAACAACAAAGAAGCCCGAATCTGTCTTCCAGCCCGATGAAAGAGTTTGTTCTATGAGATGGAAAAAACTCCTTTAAAAACTGTTGTTGCATTTCATCCCAAGCACGAATGGATCCTAGTCTCAAATTTTATAGCCATGTTTTAGCTTTATCTTTTAATAAAAAAGAAAAAGTTTTAATTTGATGGTGTTCATGCTATAATTTGAGTCATTATAGGTGTCACAGACCTCTTCAAATTCCCTTAAATACAAGTATGAATTTTCTAAATCTAAGCCATGAAAGGAAGGTAAAAGTGGAATAATGCCTAGTTTAAAATTAAAATGAGATGCATCAGGAGGAAAAACTATGCATGATGATGCACTTGTTCATGTGGGATTCATGTGGTTTCTAAGTGTTCTAATACGGTTATTTTCATTATGAAGTGATTGATTATCTTCTTCGACCATATTTTCTGAAAATGATGAGGATACCTTACAAAGTCTACCACTTAATGTACGTGACCATACTCTCATGCACGTGTAGGAATAGAATAAGAGGAAGAAGAAAACAAAAGAAGAAGAAACAAAAGAAAACAAACAAAGTTATATACAAGAAAAGTAAAACGAGAAAATAAAATAAATACTATAATTTATACAAGAACTTACCTCCCTAGCAACGACGCCAAAAACTTGACACGACTAAAAGATTGATGTTTTCTCCCAAGTGTAGGAGTGCCGAAATAATAAATAACCCAGCAAGACTGGGATCGAATCACATGAAGGCTAATTGTATAAATTATAGATGACAATAATACAAGAACAACAATAACAACAACAATAACAATAATAGTATTAGTAGTAGTAGTAGTAATAATAATAATAATAATAATAATAATAATAATAAAGAAAAAAAAGGAGAAGAAGAAGAAGATGATGACGATGATGAGAACTTTAAGATGGAATATTAATGTAAGGATTAAACAATGATAATAACAAATGTCAAGGTTAGAGGTTCCACTAATGGTAAGTCTAACAAGTATATTATAAACTCCTATTATTTAATTAGAAACTACACATAAAGGAGGTTCCAATCAGATTATAAATTGTTAACATGATTACATTAGTGATCTTATTCGATTAATACTAATACTTGTAAATATTGTCAGGTATTCATGATTATAACTTATGTTAATAACAAATCAAGTTTCTTTTATAGCTCAAGTGTTTGTTATACCATACATTATGGGCTATGAGAGTGCCAAGTATTTGTTGTGCCAAGTGTTATACAACATAAATCTAAATTAGTCATTTAACAAGCAAAGTATTAAAGAGTGAACAAGATAATAAATACAAAAGATGTTAGTATCTAACATTAAAGTCCATATGAAGTTTACACTGTACTTATTCTTACACCATTAGTGTAACCTTTTCACTTTGACATAATAAACTTAGCTAAAATAATGAAAGAAAGAAAAATAAATAAATAAAATATGAACAAAAATAAGATAAAAGTTAAGTAAAGAAAAGGAATTGAAAGGCATAAACTTGATATTAATAAAAGCAAAACTTAAGCATTACAAAAATATAAAGAGAGAAAGCAAGAGCATGATTTTGATCTAGAAACCAAGATGCCTAAATGCATGGCAAATGCCTCCTTTTATAGGCCAAAATTGGGAACTATTGATTTGATGACTAATTGATGAGTGGGTGATCAACTCTTGACTTGGTGATAATCCTTGTATTCTCTTGTCTGCTCAAAACATCATTAATAACATCAAAATTGGAACCACTTGAAAATATAAAAGTTGTAGGAAACTGTCTTAGCTTTCTTGGTTAAAAAATTGAGGTCATTTGAACTTCTAGAACTCTAGATATGCGTCAAACACTGAACAATGCTCGGGCTAAAGGACAGATTTAGACTTTTTTGTTGTTGCTACAATTTGTACTTGAAAATGACTTTTTTAAGTCTTGGGCTCCATAAGAAAGTTGTAGGCCTATGTCTTATTAGCCCATATGAAAGTTGTAGGCATATGTCTTACCTTTCCATCCATATATAGACCTAAATCCGAGATCTACATCTCTAGATATGACCTAATTACCGAACAATGTTCCGGTTTGGACTGCACTAACATCTTTTTTCTAAGTTTGGTCATTTCTTTGTCCTTTCAATTTTAGTTCTTAAATTCATCAATCAATTCTTTTATTTATATGATAAGCTTGCATTTAAAATGAACATTTACCACAAATTAAAGGTATCTTATATTATTAGATATGTTATTATAAAACATGCTTTAGTTAAGGAGTTATTGATACTTAAAGTGCAAAATGATGATATAAAACCTTGATAAAAAATACACTTTTAAGTACTAATCAGCTAACAGCTATTGGGTCTAGCTGACCGCTATTAGCTTTGGCATGGAAACCAGACCCAAATCGCTTCCGAAAGGTGTTGAGTTTGGCTTGGTAACCAAACCCATCGCTATTGAGTATGGCTTGCAGCAAGACTCACAAATCTTAGGTCTAACTTGGTTGTTGGACTTGCAAAATGCCAATTATGTTAGGTTGCAACACCAAAAATCTTATTAATAAACTTAAGGTTTAACTCGAATATTTGTGTTATAAAACGCCAAATATGCGGTATTGTAACACCTGAACTCTTATCAATAAGCTTAAGGAAAGTACTCATCATTTTCAAAGCACTTGGTGTTGGGTCTAACTAGACAACTAGACTCATTACTATTAGGTCTAGTTTCCTACAAGAACCAAGGTTATTCAATCAGATATATTGATTTTTTGTCCCTTTAAATTTTTTTTATTTGTTTTATTTTTTTATACAGTAAAAAAAATAAATTGATGAATTTTTTTATATTGTACAAAAGTTAAGTAATAATATATTTTTTTTCAATTAAACTTGAGTTGGGTTGAATTTATTTTCTCTTAGTAATAGTTATTACTTAGCATGACAAAAAAATATTGAGTTTTGTTGCCTAGCAAAACCTACTAATGATGAGTTACTAATGATGAGTTTGGTTCATCAGCTAAAATTAATACCTTTTAAATTTATTAATTGATAAATTCAATAATCTAATTTGATAAATAAATTTAATACTCTTGAGTTTCACTTTTTTTACTTACTCTAAAAATATTAAGTTTGATTTAGTTACAGGATACAAAACTATATTTGATATATTTTTTATATTTTTTATGTTTAATATATATATTTTTTTAATTTTAAACCGACGCGGAGCCCGGAATATTATTTGCAAAATTTGTCTTCTTTTCTTCTTAGGGATCTTGTCTGCATGCCAGATCTCTTGCTGCCTCTCCCCCGTCTGTCTCTGCTTTCTCTCGTAGAGATCTCGCTACTTGTAAACTTTTCGATTTCCTTCCGATCCAAAATCCCATATTGCCTGCTCCCTGATGGGGTTTCGTTCAAACCCTAGGTTTCTCTTTGTAGCTGCTGCTGCTTTTCTTCTACTATTCTCCTTCTCTTACATCGCCGCTGCTGAGGTCTGTTACTTCTGATCCGTATTTTTTTATAATTTTTGTCCGTATATGTTTTTTTTCTTGTGATATTATTTATTATAGGCAGATGGGGTGGAAAATGAGGGAGATGAATCAAGATCCTTTCAAGATCTCGGCCGCCGTGGCATGGTATTTATTCCTATTACCATTTTGTTTCTTTCTAAGAAAAGCTATTTTTGGTCATACACTCATTTATGGATGCAGATTGTTACAAGTGGTGGTGATGCCAAATCTGTTCTTAAATTGGACTCTGGTCTTGGACTTTTTGATGCATTCTTTGCTAGCTTCTCAATGATTATGGTCAGCGAGGTCTGTGCTATCTACTCTTGTCTTACTTATTTTTTAGATTAACCGGGGAAGAAAAGCAATTGTTATTATCATGTTTTTCTGATTGGTGCTCGGCTGTATCTTCTTAACTTTTCTCGGCATTGATTTTGTTAAATGTTTCTATTGCTTGACTTTTATGGTGCTTGCTAGATTGGAGATGAGACTTTTATAATAGCAGCTCTTATGGCTATGCGACACCCTAAATCTACTGTTTTGTCTGGTGCACTCACTGCATTGATTGTTATGACAGTAAGTTATCTGGCTATTTGTTTCAGTTTCTACATCAACCAAAGAATTCTACCTTTTCTTTGTTTCACATCTTTTTTATCCCTTTCTTTCTCCTGACATTGCAAAGTGATTGGATAGCAGTGAATGGAATGTCCAGCAACTACACTGCACTTTTCTTATTCTCAATGTTGTGAAGATTAAAGCTGTTGTGCTATCATTTAGGTACTTTCTACTGGACTAGGTAGGATTGTGCCAAATTTGATATCAAGAAAGCATACAAATAGTGCAGCCACAAGTACGTATTATATAAATTACATTTATTTATTCCTTCTAAGATACCAGTTGCTATATCTTCTTTTTATTATTCTTCTTCCCTAGGAATGCCTTCCATGCTGCAATTTGTTTGTGGTTTTAAGCTTATTTAGTCCATAGCTTTATCTATATGTTCTATTATCTGCATTTTTTGATTTTTTCCTGTTTTGTACCATGAAAGATCTTCTGCCTTGTTCAGCCTGTTCCCGTTTCTTGCCCTATCTTAAGTTTAAGGTGTAAGACAGAAATATGACTAACGTGTCCATGCTAGGAGGAAATACTCATGAATACTGTCAATTGAGATACCTGGTTGTAGTTCCAGTAAGTTCCAGGCAGGATTCAAATAGGATTATTGCAAAACATTCTATCAAACCTAGGAAGGCTAATAGATGGTAGTTGGTGTATAGTTTCTGTCTTAAATTGAAGTTCTAGATGTATGTGCCACATTTTATTTTCAGAATCTCAGTTTTAGTCTTTGCCCATATATCAAAACTGCCCTGGCTCGTATTCTAATTCTTCATATTTAGAAAGAATTTTGAAAACTGGATGATTTATTCAGAGATAGATAGAGTGGATGTCCCATTGAATGATACAGATGTTGCCTGTGAATGAGGAGAAACAGCACTAAGTTTTGCCTGTCATTCCTTGTTAAAACACCTTTTGAAACTTGTTAATTTTGACCTTGAAGAAAACCCCGTCTAGTTTAGCAAGACATCCATTGAAAATATGTGGTTTCCATAACTAAATTAAATCCTATGCATTCATTATTAGAAGATTTAAATACTTCTCTACAAAAACGGGATTAAAATAATTTCAGTGCATTGTTTGGTTCTTAAATACATTCACTTGGAACACTATGCTAGCATATGAAAGCATGAATAGATATGTGCATGGAAGGATCATTGGTAGGCAATTGTTGAACTTGATGGGGGCATGATGTGAAAGTGAAATATGAAGTCAGAAGTCAGACTAAGATTTATATGTTTTATTGACACTGTTAATGACGATGACAAGTACAGTTTATATAAAAGGGCACCAAAAGCTATTGACATTCAGATTTACTCTACCTGTGGGACTAAATACCACCATGTACATTATCTATCAAACTCATGGAATCTGACCATGCAACTGACAGAGGCCCCCCCCTAAAACATTTATTCAATCATAGTCAAACTCTTTGAATTCTTAGATATTTTTAAAAAAATATGGAAATCATCAAAGGGCTGCAATTTCAAACATAATTTTCCTTGTAGTTGATAAGGGCACCAGTTTAAAATTTGCTTGTAGCACTGTCTACAACAGAATTAAACCACAAAGATGATCGGGTACAAACTTTGTAGCATGAAGACTAATCAAGTCAACATTAATTTATTTTTATTCTTGTGGAAATTTCCCTGTTTTTTAGTTCCTATATAGATTATAACAAGGCCGGCAGAAAACTCCTTATTCCAATAATTTATAAGATTCTGTTTTTGAGGTGATATTTTTGTACTACCAAGATCATGTTTACTTTCAGAAAATAACTTTGTAGTTTCCATCTCTAGTTTTCTTATTTATTTTAAAATGATTTTTCCATGGAAAATTGTGGAAACATGTTTATTGAACACACAAATTTTATAAAATGGAAAACAAGGGTATTGTTAGACTTACATTTAGATAATAAAAGAAATAGACATGTAAATTTAGTGAACCAAACAAAGCCACTGTTTTTTACATGGATAATTTGGAAAAACAACTTTTTGGTGTTTTTCAATTTCTCCAGAAATCGGGCAAATAGAGAAAAAAAAGTGCTTTCAAAAAAATATATTTCATTTTAAATTAGTAAATGTGTTTTTATAGTTTTCTATTTTCTAAAATATTTTTCAAAGAAAACTAGACAAGCTCCCACAAGTAAACACAACCCATAAATTTCCAACTCTGGTTCCACATGTACATGGGAGTCCAATAGGTGAAACCTGACAAGAAGATTTGCAACCATATAAGGTCAAAATGAAAGCTATTCTTCCTATATTTATCATGATCACAAGACCAGAGAAAATGATCCCATTTAAGTGACTACCAACAAAGAAACAGTACATTGACAACACATTTCTTGATGGAGTGACTAAATGTTATTTGTGTGCTAGAATCAGGTTCATTATGAAAACTAACCATTCTATTCTTTCCATATGCAGTTCTGTACGCATTTTTTGGCCTTCGGTTGCTTTACATTGCCTGGAGATCAGATTCAAAATCATCCCAGAAGAAAGAAATGGAGGAGGTATGTTTTTCCTTTTCTTAAATCTGTTTTCTTCTCCTATTAAATGTCTAAATTGAAGATGCATTTTCTTTCATTGCTGTTAAATAAATAATATCTCCTGTCAAACAAAAGAGAGTTTAAGATTCTTGTAGCTCTCATTTCTGGTTTGGATGTCTTTGTGGATGAGTAATTGATGATAGGATGGTTAGCATGTTTAATCTGTGGGGTTATATTCCTTCCCCCCTCCCCCTCCCTTTAATGCTTTGATAGGCTTTGGGCACATTGGTAAACTGTGTCTTTATCATAATATCACTATGATCCGCTGGTTTAGTCAAGTTGCTATTACATTCCTGATCATAACCAGTCTTCTGATCCAACTTTTTTCACTTCTCTTCTTCACCTGTTTTAATTTTTTTTTGTAAAAGTTAATATTGCCTTGTTTTTGCCCCGTTTTATTTCTCTCTAAAAGTTCTCTATGCCATGGGGTCATGAACTGTCTGCATTCTTTCTTAATAAGTGATCTGTTTGTGTAATTTATGTAGTTTTATTAATTTGATTATTTGAGGCTCCTAGCATGGTGGCACTTTATTGTGATTTCTTTTCAAAAGAAATTCTTTAGATATTTTTTGAAGCTTAAAATTTGATTCCCTTCTCTCTGCATTGGCCTTTCCTGAGATGTTATTACCTATATCTTGATGCTGTGCATTTTGTGTTCAGGTAGAAGAAAAACTTGAGTCTGGTCAAGGGAAAACATCCTTCCGTCGTTTATTTTCAAGATTTTGTACACCAATATTTTTGGAGGTATGTGTAATGCCTCATGCTTGTTCATCATTCTGATCCCATGAAGTATTTCACATTCTTTAATGTGTTATATAGTAATGGGATTTTGCAATGCCAAGTCTTTTTGCCACTCTGTATTTAAGTATGATGAGAACTGCCTAAGATTATGTTCGTTTTAGGTATTTATGTTATAATTCTCCTGATACAATCTCAGCAGAAGCATTTTTGTTTCTCTATACAGTCATTTATTTTAACCTTTCTAGCTGAGTGGGGAGACCGTAGCCAGATTGCTACAATTGCTGTAAGTTCATTTTCCGATTCTTGTGTTCTTATAGAAATTATAGTGGCATGGCTAAGTTATAGTTGCTCCTTTTGCCTTGTGACATTTTATTTGTTGTTTTCTTCTTGTGCTGATTGGTCATTTTAACCTGGTTTCCCTTTCATATTCTGTAAATTAGGATTTTACTCAAATGATTGTTGCCATAGGATTTTGAGCCCTTCTTCTCTCTTATTGGAGAGAAATAATTTCATTAAGAAAATTGAATTTAATAAAAAAATGGAGGTTATGACATCCATGCTAAGAAGAAGAAAATTTCTTCATTATATAAAGCTCTCCAATCTTTCTATGCTATATGGATACTCTAGTGATTCTCATTGTAGAGCGCCCGCCCCTAATGAAAATTCAAGAAACCACATTTTCCCAGCACTGCTGTAAAGGTAAATGTATTTTGCGACAAGGCACTATTTAGGACAATTTTTTTTTTTTAAATCTTTGGATTCTCCAGTTTTGTATCCTAGACTTTCATTTGCGTGGTATGGTTACTGTTACAGCATATCATTGAAGTAAATATCACAAACCATCATACCTGTTGGTGGTGAGTCCTGATTAGCTGGTAGCATGTATGGGCTTTGGTACACCTTACTCCAAATGAAATTCACATGTTGATACACCTTACTTGAAATGAAATTCACATGTGATATATACCTTTGTCTTCTGAGTTTTTTGCCAAATGGCTTAAAAGCAATAAAATAACTTTCTTCTAGAAATGTGTGCTTAGCTGCTAACTACCAACCTAACTATCCATATCCATGTGCAGTACAAGAGAGCAGTAATGAGGCAGCTGAATTTAGCCTTTTAGGCTGTCATGTCCGTTGCTCTCTAGTTTTGTAGAGAGTTCAATAAAGTGTTTGTTAAGTCTTGTAATGAGTTTTTTAGTCATTTTGTTGGATGTAATAGGATTTTGTGTTTGTGCATGTTAGGTTCTTGAGAGTTTCATCTAAACAGTGCAATATTTATATTAGCGCGGTCTTGTGTAATTATCAAAAAAGAAAAAAGAAAGAAAAAAAGAAAAGAAAAGTCCTGCGTAGGCAGGTTGTCAAACCCCCTTAAATTGTGTTCTTTATAATGCTGTGCTTTTTACAATTTGCCTAACATGCAGCATCAGAACCAAGGTTTGGTTTGTTGTAACAAAATTTTGGACTTGTAGTCTTCAAATTCGAATACCCCACTATCCACTTGATTTCATGAGTCCTACTTCGTTGTATGCATTCTCTCTATACAGTTTTTCTTGCATATGTTTGTGAGTTTGAAGTTGGAACACACAGGAATTCATAAGCTCAAAAGCAGCTATGAATATGTTGCATGAAAGATCAAAATGGTTCCCCATAATTATGATGTCTGCTATTTGCTTTGCTTAGCCAGAGTGATTTGAAGGGGAAGATACTGTGATTAGCAAGCAATTGTGCTTAGCCAGAGATGAATGCAATTGTTTTGGTAGAATATCAAACATGATTTATCTTCTTGTTGCTGCGTGTTTTATGTTACTTTTGTCTCAAATTGCAATTTTGTAGAAGCTAGGTATTCTGTCGCTGTCTTGTAAATTTTTGACTAGAATTTCTGGTCCTGCAGTTGGCAACACACAAAAATGCGCTCGGTGTAGCTGTGGGGGCTACTTTGGGACATACTATCTGCACTTCCCTGGCTGTAGTGGGTGGAAGCATGCTAGCATCTAAGATCTCACAAGGGACAGTTGCTACGATTGGAGGCTTACTTTTCCTTTGCTTTTCCTTGTCTTCTTATTTCTATCCTCCTCTGTAAGTGATAATGTAGGCAAACCTGATATACGTCTCTTTTTTTTTTTTTTTTGAAGTGTCGACGCCCTTTTTTTTTTTTTTTTAAGGTGGACGCGCTTTTTTTTTTTTTTTTGAAGGGTTGACGCTCTTTTTATTTTTTCTCGAAACAAGCACTATGCTAACTCTGGTCGACTCCATACAGATGTTATTCTTTTGCACAATTAGCATATATGTCAAATGTTTCTTCAATTTTACTTGTGAACACATTGATACTTGTTCAAGCAAAATAGTCCATCTCCTACGTAGGTTATGTTTTACTTGGTTATAATTTCCTTCAATCTTTCCTCGTGTTTTTCCCTTGTGAATCTCGTCGAAGAGAGGAGAGTTATAGTAGAGAATCCACTCATGCGAGTGTCCTTAGTGTATTATTTCAAGAATTGATTTTTTTTTTTTACAAAGTTTGTTAATTTTGATCCCTTTATTTTCACTTTCCTTCTACTTCAGTCTCTTTAGCTTATGAAAACTTCATTTTGTTTAAAAAATTAAAATGAAAATTTTTATTATATTTTTATTTTTCAGTCCTTTGTATTGCACTAGATATTATGACAATCACTCTCTTTGGTAGGGTGTTTTTTTTTTTAAATAAATTTAGAGGGGAAAAAAGGTTTAAAATAAGGTATGAGTTGGAATAGAATTGCTATCTAGTATTATGATTATTAAAATCTTAACTAATTTTTTAAAGTACAATGTAAAAGATTAGTTATATTAAAGAGAAGATGTTATCATGATAAAATATCTTATATAAAATAAGCTGTATTGCTATGTGTTTTTTTTATTTTTATTATAATTATTCTTTTTTATAAGTTTTTTTATTTAGAGGGAAAAAGATATCTAAAATAAGGTATAAGTTGTAATAGAGTTATTATCTAGTATTATAGTTATTAGAATTTTAATTGATTTTTTACAGTTACTAGTAAAAGACTAGTTATGCTAAATGAAAAAAAATACTATTATCATTGAACTTCTAACATAAAGTAAGTTGTATTATAATATGTTTTTTTTATTCATAATGTGTTTAAGATGTATTGTAATGCGTCTTTTATTTATAATGTGTTTAAGATGTTTATATGCAAGGGTCATGAATACCTATTGTTGAAGATTGGTTTAAAAGAGTGAATTAAATGGAAGGGTAATTGCTACCAAATTACTTGTAACAACTCATTTATTTAAGGAATAATAAGTGAATGATCACATATGGATATCTTATTCATGATCGAGGCTTATAACTTGTACAAGTGTTTCAAACATTGTTAATGAATAACATGATAGGCCTATATAGGGTCATATTGACCCGACTCTAAAATTTATTTTAACTAAGATTCCAGGATAACGACTCTAAAATTTATTTTAACTAAGATTCCAGGATAACAACCCGTGACAAATTCATTTATTTTACTGGAGAATTACAAGCAATTTTGCTGAATGATTTATGTACTTTTATTTCTTTATATTAAAATTATGCTCACTTTTAGTTTATTTATTTGGAGGTATCTAAAAACAAATGTTTTTTTTTATTAGACTAAAAGTTATGTAATTTCAAGATAATGACCAATGATGCCTCATTTATCATGAAATGTATTGTTATGCTAGTTATTTATTGTTTACTTTTCTTATAATGTTGTCCTAATCAATTTCTATACATATTGGCCGTGAAGACTCATTTATGCATAGACATTGTTAGTAGACTATCATTCAAGGTCAAAATTCTTATCATTGTTGTTAATTGTTATTAGAAAGAACGACATTTATAAAGGAATGCGTTGACCAACTTGTTACCTTTAATTGACATTTAAGAATAATGACCTATAAGGGTTTATTTACCTTAGAAATCGTTGATTGATATATGACTGAAGAGACTAATGCATATTAAAAGGAAAACTTCATGCTTGGAAACCTAAGCAAAATGGAAATTCTACCCCAATCAATACCAACCATAATGACCAATGTGTTGTTTCAAAATTAAGTCAACTGTAACACTTAGAAGGGGAGTGAATTAGGTATATCATTAATACTGACAACTAATGTAAATTAATTAAAAAAATCACACTAAAAACAATAATAAGAAATATAATTAAAGTACCTAAAATAAATAGATAAGAGAGAGAGTTTGCAAACTTGATTTTTAACATTTAGTAAGCCTACATCTACACCTTAAGTACTAATCCATACTTGAGTATTGTATTCTTTTACTTGTCCAAGTTATGGAGTACAATATCCACTTGATGAATCAATACTAAGATTTTTACACTACTTGAAGATATTCTTTATTCAAGATTTTTTTCTCACTTGAAGATATTTTCTCTTTAAGGTTTTCTTTTGGTGAAAATACCTTATCAATGCCAAGAGTTTTTTCCTAACTTTTAAGGGTTTACAAGAGTGATTTTGTTATCATAATTAACTCTCTTAATAAAGTGGATAATACAATTAAAAATTCTAACATCTCTATATCTCATAAGATAATATTTAAAGAACTTGAAGGTGTTTAAGTGTAGTGAAAATGAGATTAAATACCCTTGTGTTAGAATATGAATGTTTAATAGCACCACTTAGAGTATAATTAATGATTGCTGATTTAGATGTTGTTTTGATTTTAAAATAGCTTGTATATGATATAAGTTTGAACTCCCTTCATAATTTTACAATTAGAGAAGTTATATATATAACAAAAACTAGTCATTTATAATCATTATAGTCTCATTAATAGTTGAAGCGGTTGACCGATTCAAATTGGTGAAGTCAATCGGTTAAATGGTTCGTTCAACATTCCTAAGTGTTCATCTTGGATGAGCAAGCATTGACTGGTTCATTTTGTCAAGCCAAATGATTGATCGATTCAAATAGAATTCTAGATTTATCAGTTTTGACTTAGGTGAATTTTTAGAACCATTTATCAACTTTTTAATCAATCATTTTAAATATATGCATAATGAATGTGTGTGCATTTATTTTAATTTGTGCTATCAAGATGAGATATACAAATTTACATGAAGCTCTAAAATGAATACTTAATTCTAAGTCTTCAATAAACTTCCTTCTTTAGACTTCTTTTTGATATGATGTTAGTATAAAGTTATGTAAAACTTGTTTTCAACCAAGCATATTATTAGTCCAATTTTCATATTTTTTTATCATAAAAAATATATAAAAACATAAATAAATGTGTGACCTAAAGGTCAACAATCTTTCTTTTTTTGATGATGACAATTAATATGTAAAACAAAAAAAATGATGAATGATAAAATGAAATACAAAATAAATAAATATAATAATTAAGTAATCAAATGAGAAAAATATGAAAGACATAAGGAATGTGACTCCAATTGTAAAGAAAAGAAAAGAAAAGAAAAGGGTCAATGTGTAATTAGGATGAATAGGGCTATAAATACCCCATTTCTTCCTCTTTCTTGGCCAACTGAACACCATAGGAAAAAAAAAAGGGAGAGTACATATTTTTCTTCATAAAAAAGAGGGGAAAACATCAAATCTCCTAGACTATGCAAACCTAAGACCCTTAAGTAGAAATGACACCTATTAACAAGGACTTTAACAAGGAAAATGAGTGAAGAAATTGGAGAAAAAAAAGGAAGAGGGACAACTGCATGCAAAAGAGGAGAAACCAAAATGTTTAACGACATGGAAGTGAAAATCTAAAATTTCTCAAGGTATGGACACTAGACTTAACGGTTAAAAACACTTTAACAATTAATTAAGAATTATGCACTAATTTTAAATTTTATAAATAAGGGTTCTTGAGTGAAAATTTAAGGGAAATGTTGAAATTAGTAGAATGAAGTTAATTAAGCTAACATAAGATGCTTTGAACATTAAAAACATACAAAATAGTTAAAGAAAAATCATTAATTCAAAGGCTGAGTGGTTGACCATGTAAGGATTGAATAGGGAAATAAGGGAATTTTGAAATTTGTGTTGATGAACACTTATAGTTTGCATATGATGTGAACAATGAGTGAATGAAGCAAGAAAAAATTGAATAGTAAAAAAAAATCGAACCCTTAGTTCCCTTAGACCAAGTTCGGCTAAGAGTCAATTGAGGGGAGTGAAGAAGAATTCTAGTGTATTATATGACCTTAATGCATGAATTAATTGTAGTGGAAAGCTCATTAATATGGAAAAGTGTGAAGAAAATTGATAGTAAGGGACTTTGCAAGTATGATGTGTGTCATATGAAGTGATTAGTACTTAAAAGTAAATTTTTATTAAAATTTTATATCATCATTTTGCACTTGAAGTATCAATAACTCCTTAACTAAAATATATTTTATAATAACAAGTCCGATACCATAAGATACTTTTAATTTATGATAAACGTTCATCTTAAATGCTGGCTTATACATAAATAAAAGGATTGATTTATAAATTTAAGTACTGAAATTGAAAGGACAAAGAGATGACCAAACTTAGAAAAGACATGTTGGTGCAGTCCAAACTGGAACACTATAATTGGGTCATATCTAGAGTTGTAGATCTTGGATTTAGGTCTACTTTATATAACGAAAATGTAAGACATAGGCCTATAACTTTTATGTGGAGGTTTGGTTTTAAAAAGGCCGTTTTCAAGTCCAAATTGTAGTAACAATGAAGAAGTCTGAATCTGTCCTGTATCCCAGACACTGTTCAATGTTCAACCCATATTTCAAGTTCTAGTAGTTCAAATGGCCTTAATTTTTTTTCCTAGAAAGCTGAAATATTTTCTAGAACTTTCATGATTAAGTTTGTTTGAATTCTAACATTAGCAATGATGTTTTATTCAGACAAGAAGATAAGGATTGTCTCCGAGTCAAAAGTTAGCCATCCATTTAACAATTAGTCAACAAATCAATAGTTTTTAATTTTGGCCTCTATAAAGAGGCATTTTCCATGCAATTAGGCATTTTGGTTTTCAAATCAAGATCATGTTCTTGCTCTCTCTTTATTGTAATGCTTAAGTTTTGCTTATATTAATCTCTTGTTTATATTTCTCATTTCCTTTCCTTTACTTAGTTAACTTTTATCTTATTTATGTTCTTATCATGATATCAAATTCTTGAAGTAATAAAATTCACTTCACCAATCTAGCCTTAGAATCTTTCTTAGAAAGAAGATATTTCAAAGCTTATGATCACTAAAAACAACAGGTGAGCCAATAAGATAAGACCTCAATTTTTCACATGTAAATACTACTGCAAGTAATTCT